TCAATCAGAGGATCGGAATTCATCATATTAGGGATATGAAGTTTAGATCAGGTCTAGGTTTAGCGAATATCATTTTATAATTTTGAAGAAAACTTGTACACTAAATTTCATGAAAATATCACAACTTTTGTCCCATCTAAACGCCCTAAACCGTTCAAAGTCAGCTCTAAGTCGAAAATCGCTATACAAGGTATGTTGGTTGCAGAGAAAGGTCTCAACTTGTTCCATTAATTTTTGACATTACTCGATATACTTGAGAACACAAGAAATTTTTAAAATAAATAACCCACGTCATATTCGGATCAAGGTTTATTATAATGACGAAAATCAATCTGATACCATCACCAATATATAAGGAGTAAGGAGCTTGAACAGCAAAGTTTTATTACGATATATTCATTGGTGCTTGATTTCTATACTGGAAAGTAAAAAAATCAGTGGGAGTTTACAGTTATGTTATATAGGAAGTAAGCGTGTTTGCAGTCTGATTTCGTCCATCACTGTAACATGGGATAGACAGGATAATATTACCTACCGAATTTGGTTAAAATTGGTCTAGTAGGCCCGAAGGTACGTGATTTCATCTTAAGGTAGGCGGTGCCATGCCCATTGGTTTGGAAAATATCTATTATCTATTATGGAGCGGAGCCCCGCCCACTTTCTCAATATTTTTAAACCGCCTGTGCCCCTACATAAGACGATTCGTTGTATCAAATAACACTGTCGTAGCGTATTGTGGAGCTTAGTTATGGCACTTAATTCGTTTTAGATTAATAGCTTTTGTGGCCATGGCACTGGTCCGATTACGCTCTTCTACAATACTTAACTTCATATAACGCCAATAGCATGTGTATCAAATTTTATCAAGATATCTTCATTTTTACCCAAGTTACAGCTTGCACGGACGAACGACAGACAGCCAACCGGTCTCATTATCCTGATCAGTTATATATATATAACTCTATATATATCTGCATTAGTTTAAGGTGTTACACACCACCGTTAGGTCAACAAAACCATTATACTCTGTAGCAACATGTCGATAGACATGTTGCATAACTTTGTACATACGTCCATTCATATATAGTATGTAGTATGCGTATGTGCAGACGTAAATAACATTTTCAAAATAATTATTAATATTTATATAAACTCGTATTTACAGGTCTACATGTAGTTAGAGATTTCTTAAGCTGTTATATTTAATTCTAACTTCAATGAATTGTTTGCAAACTTTTATGACGGTTTAATAATTAGCATTGGAAGTGGTAAGGACCTATTGAATAAAATATTCAAAGTTTTACGGTTAATTAGCGAACGTATTCAGTAACTTGATTTTTTTTATATATACATATACCTACATATGTTCGGCTGCTCTCTATAAATTGATTGTAGCATCTGTTATATAAGCTAGCCAAAAGTACTTGTAGTTTAGAGCCAATTTATTTTGACAATTTTTCGAAAATGTTCTTAACATCCTCTTTTTCACTTATTTCACAAGCTGTTCGCCATTTAAAATATTAAATAAATTGGAAAGAAACCATAATTACGTCAAAATAAAAATATACAGTTTCGTTTTTGTCATATTGTTGACGGTTTTTTAATTAATTTTATCAATTTTTAAATCAAATATAAGATAGGAATGATATTTTTTTAGTTAATGATTTTTCCATTAATGCCTTTGTATATATTTTAAAATCATGTATAAGAGAATTTGTAGGTTAAAATGAAGTCAGTCTAACATATTATGATCTCAGTAGATATCAACTTATTGTTGACCAATCGAGCGATAGTCACACCTATCTTCGCTTAATACTTGTATAAAAAGCACATATCTATGTACATATGTACTTGATGTATTTTAAAAAAAATTTTAAAATTAATTTCCAATACAATTAGCCATCATTAACCTAAATGCGGCGCCAGCGGTCTGGCGCTCCTACGCCTTCTATTTTAAAGAAATGTTAAGAATTAATTTTTTTTATTTATTTCCACTGACAATTCGGACAAATTAATTAATATTACTTTTTCTTTGAACTTGTTTTAAAACAGAATAATGTAACACAACACTCTCAATTTAGAATAGATATGTACATATACACATATTATCTTATGCTGTCGAATAGTCTAAAGGCTGCACTGTATATTTAAAGCTAAATCATTTTTTGTTGTAAAAAACCCCGAATTTTTTTGAAATAAGTTGCCAGTGCCAGTCAAATGTATAGATTTTAGACACTTTTTATAAATTGAGATTATTTTTCTCATTTTCATGTTACAATTCTACAGCACTGATATTTGAAATATAATATAAAATTTCAACCACAAAATATCATTATTAAAATTACATGCATTTCTTTTGATTAATATATATATATATGACTGTTTATATACATACATAACTATGTAACGTTATGTGTTATTGTTTTTATATATCTTTTAGTGAATTCTAACTCACAAATGTAGTTTTGAACCTCTCCTCTGATGCTATTCAACTTGTATCGCAATACAAACAATTTTGCTAGCTATTATAAATATATTTTCAATAAAATTAATTTTATTGCTGTCTTTCGCGTTGCTAATGAAAGAGCCGTTATTGCCCGATGTTGAACGATTGAACCGCGAGGTAGGAACACCTGTCGGATTGCTTTAACCTTCGTACTACGCGACTGCACTGTCCTAAACAGAATGAATAAGTTGGCTGTCAGAGTTTGCTTTTATATATCGGCAAAGTGTAAATCGGTATGTAGACAACAAAGTAAGTACAACAAAAACAATAACGACAAATGATCCGAAGAAGCGCAGTTCTGGCAGGAAACAACAAGCAACAGTTACAATTACAGCAACATAAAATACCAAAAACAAAACTTATCACTGTAGCAGTCGCCAATGGCGCAGTGTCCAAACGCTAGCATCAAGTTGCGTAGCAGACGAATAATGGTGTGTTGGCAAACGAAGGTGTTCGTAGTGTCACAATACTTTGTGGGCTCTTACTATACACACATATCAATATACCGGGATATTCACAAGCTATCATGTGTGCTTCAATATACATACATATGTACATGCAAATGTCCTAGCATGTTACACAAAAAATGGGTTACTGTACATGTATATGTAGTTACATACGTAGGTATGTAACAAATAAGTGAAGACGTCATGATGATATTTTTGGGTGGTTGGTTAATTCCTGATGTGTAGAAGGTAGCTCTTTGCGGACTTGGTGTTGAAAGTATAGCAAAAAATGTACCCTTTTCCAATATAAAAAGGCACATTTCTACAAACGTTATTTTATTATCGGCAACACGTTTATAGAAGATCTTTATGGATAGTTGGTTTTAGCCCCATAATCGCTTCCTAGTCGTTCAAAAAGTATCGTTTTTCCTTTGCGCCATCAATTCATTAAAAATAGTTTTTATTTTTTTTGCAAATTAACACTTGTTCAATTGCGATCATTGACGCGTACAATTCGGTTCTAAATATTCTAAATTGACTATTACAAACTGTAAAATATAATATTTAAATACGAGTTGTACATTTGTGAAAAGGCTGTCTAAGCATTATGCAAAAACTGGAAACGTAGATGACAAGCCAAGAAGAGGGAATCACGCGATATTCAAGAGCGATATTCTCTGTTAGAATGAAAAAATTGTATAAAAAGGGTTTACTGATGTCAGCTGAAATGCCTTACGGAAAAAATTACCGTGATTGGATACTGCAAGTAGACAATGATGATTACAACATTTTGCCCAATAATATACTGTAAATACTGTAAATCTTTTTACTGAACGTAGTCAGGCTCTATAATAAGTTTAATTTACAAATATATAAGCATTCGACAATATATATTCGACGCGTTAACGCCGAGAAATACAATATGGCTCGGTTTTTTACTGATCCTATCTACTAAACTGATTTTACCTCACGTTAATGGTAAAATGCAATGCTTCAACTATGCATTCAATGATAATGAACTTCTAGAAATTAAAAACTATATCTCAATAAAATGGCGATACATCAATTACATAACAACAGCATTATGATTCTCGTAAAATTAAATTCTGAACAAGTAAGGAGGGTCTAAATTTAGTCCAGACCGACTTGACATAAATACCTGAATGTACATATGCATATCATAAATAACTTCAGCAACTTTAGTTAAAATATGTAATAGCTATCTCCAAATTATCGCCAATAGTTCCGCAAAACTAAGCACCAAATGCAAAAATGACTTGGTATTTTACTAACCCTTCCTACTAAACTGATTCCACGTCACGTTAAATGGTAAAATACAATGCTTCCACTAAGTATTCAAAGTATGTATGTTAATGATATTTTGATACCTATACACATATAAAATCGCATATACTTCATGATTATTTTTTGACTTTGTTACAAATGTAAGGCGTACATTACTGTTGTACCCCGTGAAATATGATGCGAGGCATAATAATAATTCAATTGTAATATTTATTTTAATGAACACGTCATTTGCCTGCTGCCGTAGGAGATTCTAACACTTTATCTAATCTTTTCCAATTACTTATAACCGAAATTTTATCCAATATAACGGATTGTTCACGTTACATACATATACATTATCTACATGTTAACGTGTGTGTCAAGTGTCATATGTTAATTTGTAAAGTACTTTTTTTACACCATGTGTGTCGCAAAACTGTGTATATTTTCACCATGTGTGAAGGGTGTCGCAAAAGCTGTGTATATTTATATGTAAGTGCCCATTAATAAAATACATTAAAAATGAATTTGCTTAACTTTCTTTCCAAATAATTATTAGCTCATATTGATTGACTACTGAACTATTTTTTTAGAAACCTAATTTTATTTACATATAAAAATACAATATACTCATAAACATATGTATATCTCATCATCAATAAGATGAAAGTAAGTCTATTTTTATAAAAAAAACTAAACTAAAAAAAAGTCGGTAATCTTTAATAAATAAGATGATCACTTTCTTATGTATTATTACTTAGTTAAAGTCTTGTAAAAAAAACTTTTTATACGTATTAATTCTAATTTCTAATGCGTTATATCTTAATTATATACTTTAAAGTCAAGGGGTCGCGTCGACTTGGTATATTTATCATATTTTAAGATTGACTGACAACATTTTTTACGTATATGGACACTATGATAAAGAAAGAGTTGATTACATTAATTATATATAGCATACTACAGTTTGTTAATAACAGATTTAGCGAAATACTCGTAGATAGAAAAATGTCACTATGTTCGGGAAAAATTCACCCATATGCACTGGTGGCCACATATTTGGTGACTGGGTTCTTAAAAATTTATAGTCTGATTTCGACAATATTTGGGTATAAGATGAAATACCTTGAGAACACTATTTGTGCAAAATTTTACTCTGATAACTTCATTGTTGTTTGACTGACAACATTTTTTACGTATATGGACACTATGGTAAAGAAAGAGTTGATTACATTAATTATATATAGCATACTACAGTTTGTTAATAACAGATTTAGCGAAATACTCGTAGATAGAAAAATGTCACTATGTTCGGGAAAAATTCACCCATATGCACTGGTGGCCACATATTTGGTGACTGGGTTCTTAAAAA